GGGGGGGGGGGGGGTGTGCACACATGGATGAGCTCACTGGCATGAATTAGGGCCACTTGTTGTGTTCACTGGACTGCTATCACTCGCGATGCGAGCCATCGGTTGGTGATGGGACACCTGAGACACGTTACACACTGAAGTCAACGGAACTACGCGACATGCTCTCTCTCAAGGCGGTCAATCAGATAGCTGCTCGTCTGTCAGAAATGTCAACTTTCGGCCCTCAAGAGATGGAATAAATCCTGAAAGAGTGCCATGTCCTGGCTGCATGCGCATGGGGGCAAGACCGGATGTCTTGAAGGTGGCCCCCCGTCTGCATGCAGGACGCGCCCTTCCACGCCGCTGCTATTCACCGCGTCTCTTCATTCCGTCGCATTCCATCCCAATTGTTCCATCCGAGTCAATGATGGCCCCATTTGAGCGTGACTGATAAGTTGTTCACCATGCAGCGCCTGTCCGTCCTTCTCCTCTTGACAGCGTCATCGGCCGCTTCCCTCTTGGCCCACGACATGGCCTCCTCCGCTGAGATGAGCAATCATCTTGAGCAGTCGGGGCTCGGCGTGCACCCCGCAATCCTCCACAGACCGGCCCACAATGCCGCGGCCAAGGACGTCCTGCACCTGCTCGCCACTCACAGACAGGCATCAGCAGCATCAGCAGCAACACCGGACAGAAACGAAACGGCCGTCTCCATGCTGGCCATGCGGCACCCAGGAAGCCATGTCATTGACCTACCGTCTCGGCACAGAAAGGAGAGTAAGGGCCGAGACGGTAGGAGACACACACACACGGTTGGTTGTCGAGCTGTCGGTCGCGTTAGAGTCTGGAGTTGCGTGTGTGTCTGTCTGTGTCGGTGCAGCCACCAGCAAGATTGAGACGGGAAGTGAGAGCCAGCGAGCCATCCCCCAGCTGGGCAAAGGTATGTTTGTCATGGCGACGATGCAGTGAGCACAGTGCCGTGATGGCCTGTCTCGCTCAGATGAGGACCTCCTTGTCGGCTTGTCGGAGGACAACTCGGCCGCCGACGCCCACCACCACCCATCACTCATCGAGAGAAATACAAGTGAGCCACTTGGCTTCCCTCGTCCCCTTCTCTAGCGGTGCAGCACATTGCTGTCTTTGCCCTTCTCGGCGGTCGCCGCCCTTGTCGTGTGTCATCATGCAGCCGACATCCATGGGCCTGGTGTTCCTCCCGAGATTCCGAGACAAATGGAGGTGAAGATGGAGGCAATACGGACGCTCACGAAGGGGCAGATCAAGACCGTCAAAGGCCTCTGCGAGACCGCCTGGATCCATTGCAGTGTGATGCGCAGCCACGTCGTTTCAAAGCCCAAATCTGTGCTGCGCAAAAAGAAGAAGGTAACTAAGATGGCCACACGCGCAGACTCAGTCCACATGCCCCAGAGAGAGAAGCTCTATATGTATGCGTTGCTGCAGGCGCAGAAGTGGAAAGAAGTGCCCAGTGCGAAAGGCTTCTGGAATCGGAGGGAGTGTCGCTCCTCGAGGGGTTTGTGGCAACAGGAGACAGCTTTGCCAATTTTCCTCCGTTACCCTCTCCTGTGCAGCCTTGACGAAGGAGGGAACTTCGGGCCCGGATCAAATTTCAAAATCATGTGAGCAAGGAGATGATGTGCAGGCGTGTGCACCGCGTGTCGGCGGGCAGGTTCAAAAAGGGCGGCTTTGGCTTGGTGCTCTTCGCAGAGATTGACAGAGGCACGTGGGCATGGACACGCGTGTGCATACTACGGGTCTGTCTGTATCGTTTCTGTGTGTATGGCTGTGTGTGTGGATTGATGGCATGCAGAGATGCTGATTTCGCCGACGGACAATGTGCCAGGTACCCATGTGCCCACGGCCAATGCTGTGAGTCGCTATTCATATTCGTGACGGTGTACGTTTTGTTCACATATACGGATGAAGCGAGTGAAAGAGAAAGTGGCATTTTGCGCGTCGTAATCATGCCGCGGAGTGACTACGAGTCCCAGTTGTACGACGATTCCGATAGGAATGCGCCAACCGAAAACCTCCTGAAGGAGTTAGAAAGTGCGCCAGCTATCGAGATGATGCAACACACATTGGCATCCGCTAGGGTGTGTGTATGTGTGTGCGTGTGTCTGTGCAGATTACGCGGCCATCTGGGAAGAGATATCATCAGGAGCCATCTCTGCCGAGAAAATGCCGCAGATTCCTAAGTATTACCTGCCGAAGGAGGAGCTGACAGGTCGGTATGCGCAGACTCATCCACACCCGCACATCGAAGCAAACAGAGCCTCTGTTGTTTCTCTATCGTGCATACAAACAGCGCTCATCATAGGGCGTCTTCGCGGCATCGAAGTGAAAGACCTACTTTACGTTGACACGAAAGACCTGCTTTACGGCCACATTCGACGCGACATCCCGTGGCACCAGGTGGTGCCTGTGCGCCTCAACGGCGAGAGAAAAGACCTGACATTGGGTGCCTTCATAGTGGCACTCTTGGCTGTGGGAATTTATGGTAAACAACATGCGTGAATCGATGGAGTCCGCGCCAGTCTTACGTCTTCAGGCCTCAACAGAAATGCGGGCCATCGACACCAAGACATTGACCATGGTATGGATATATGCGTGAAGCCAGGTGCAAGTGGGACCTCTCTCAGTGAGTGGGTCTCTCTCTATGTGTGTGTGTGTATGTGTGGGGGTGTGTCTTCTCAACAACCTGCAGCTGATCGATCTCAGCTCTATGCGCAAGATCCCGTCCGGCAAGACCTATGGTCTTAAGGACATGTCGGGCGTCAAGACGTGCGCCATGCATACCGCAACACATGACCACAAATGTGTGCAGGTGTACCATTCACTCATTTCATCCATTTGATGCTTGTGCAGGATCGCCGGGGAGATTGTGGAGCAGCTCCTCAAGAAACAGCCGAAGAACAAGAGCCTCCAAGAGCTGGACAGCCTCCTTGGTTTGAGATCCTTTTCGCTGGACTTTTTCCAACGGGTGATTGATTTGGCCCTCGGCAGCGCCAACCAACCAGTCGGCTGACATGCAGCTGGGATATCTGCCTGTCTGCCCAGTACCAGTCCCCCAACAGCAAAAGCGACAAACTACCATTTGCAGACGACACCATGCCGTAGTGCGACTCGCATGGGATGAGAGGACCAGTTGAAGGGAAGATGTACAGGCAGTGCGTGTGGAAAGCTCAAAGTGAATGCATCAGCTTTGATCTCTCATGGCGGGAGCAGTTTGGGGGAGGGACAGGGAGAGGGAGAGATCAAGGTGATTCGGCCAGCCAAGCGGCCGAGTCAGCAGGCCTGCTGTCCCTGGAGATGATGCACATCTTTTGATGTCAAGTCCATCTTCGGGATGTTTTGCCTTATCGAGCTCGAGTGATATGCCTCCGTCCCACTCTACATCTGTCGAGATCGATATCGGTCGCCGGGCAGACACCGACGGCCGACAGAATTGCAAAGGCACACATACAAGAAGGAACGAGCCCATCATCCACCGTCAGCAGTGCATTCCCCGTCGCTGCATTCATTGATTGATTGACTCCTCGGCCCTCTGTTGCACTCGTCTGTCCACCCATTCACACGCATTTCGGCCCTCGGCGATGAGTTCGATCCTGCATGCTTGCGAGATTAGCTCGCAGACAAAAGGGGGCTTCCATTCCCTTTTTTTGGGATAAGTGAGCGAACAATGAGCACATGGGCGTCCACCGACGACAGAAATGAATCGCTTTCCCTGCGTGTGTGTCATTTGTGCAGACAGTGCTCGTCAGATATCTCACCGCATTCATTGCCGTCAGATAGACAAAGGCGTTGGAAAGACCTGAGGGCGACAGACAGACAAACAGCCTCACACACAAACAAATACGGGCAGGCGCTTGTGTTGTGTGTTGATGTGATGGGTGAGCAGGTTCGTGTGGATTGGTGGCCTTGTCCCCGACCGCATCAACAGCGCCTCTCCTCTCTGTCGCCCTCAGATGGGAGGTGGGCAGCACACCACACTTGACGAGCTGTATATGTGTGTGTGTGTATGGATCCCAGGGTCCCAATCAGCCCGTTTGTTGAGTGCTTCCACTGGCGATGATGATGCATCGCGGTGTGTGGTGTGCATCCATGAGTACGACACACACACGGGTGCCGCACACACGCCCCTCGTACTCGGCCAATGCGGTACGTACGGGGGCAAGGATGGTTGGCCGAGACACACACATAGTTTTGCGTATTCCATCGCATCCATGTGTGTGTCTTGTGTTGTGTTGGTGTGTGAAGGTCACACCTTCTGTGCCCACGTGAGCCGGCAGACAGACAGACAGACAGACAGACAGACTGCAGCGAGAATGTCTTTGTTCTTCATGACGTGTTGGTTTGTTTCATTCAGTGTGTAGCGCGCATAAAAGGACTCGACGGCAGCGTCAAGTGTCCCACGTGCAGGTGAGTGGGCATGTGTGAAGGTCATGAGCAATCCTGACCCATTCATCTCTCCCTCTCTCTCTCCCTCTCTCTGTTTCTCAGGGCTGTAAGTCGGGAGGATGTCATCAAGAAGAACAACGCACTCGTCACCCTCCTCGAGTACATGCGGCCATCTGACGGCACCGCTGGACGGCAGCAGCAGGCCGGTAATGCGACCACCACCACCACCACCGCAGCAGCAGCAGCAGCAGGGCACGTCAGCAGCAGGGTCGCCACCACACCACATGGAGCACGGCAGACCAGCAGGTAAGGCTCGCCAGAGAGCAGAGGAGCACTGAACACAGTTGATCTCGCCATCTGTCCTTTTTGTTCGTACAGCAATGGCGCCACACTCCGTCAGCGGCAGGAGGGCTCCTCACTGTCACAGCAGCAGCCGGCCAACAGCAGCAGTGTCGGCCGTCGGACGGGCACATCGCGGTATGGCTACCGATATGAGGTGGTGCAGGAGGGCACCGGCAGAGTGCCCACACTTTTCGACACCGTCAAGATCGACCGGATTGCGTGGGATGATGGATTCGACGGCCAGCGCAAAGCATGCGATGTCCATGGGGAGGTGATTCGGGTGTCTGGTCGGGGTGAGTGGAAGCGTGAGGCGTTGCTGGCGATGCGTGAGGGCGAGATTAGGCGAATCACAGCGCCACCCAGATATCCTGCCCGCTTCCGTCAGCTGCGGTTGATCAGCATAGAGTAGGAGAGACTGCACACACACGTGTGGGCGGCTGTGTGTGTCACACACTCATGTGTGTGGCCGGGGGCTCTGCCCTCTGTCCCTGTCTGACTGTGTCCCTCGGGTGTCGAGTAAAGGAAGGAACGCGTCGTTGATGTTTGTGTGCCGTGGCCCAGTCTGTGTGCTGTGTGTGGCTCTTTCTTTCGGTGATAGCTGTATCAGGTGTGTAGGTTTGGGAGGGGCTTCTCGCCAGTCCCTGTATCGACTCCCAACATGTCCCTGTGTCGACTTCTCATCATGTCCCTGGAGCTTCTGCCTTCATTCTAACTGCATGTCCGTTAGTGGCTTATCAGCGGACCGAATGAGTTATGAATCACCCATGGAAATGAACCAACAGACAAGCATGAAACTCGCCACACGCCTGACTGAGGAGAAGGTGCAAGCATGTCTCATCGGGGGGCGGGTGAGTGAGTGACACACTGCAGTGTGTCATGGTCCCAACGGATGATTCATTGGATGCTCATTGACACATTGGGTCGGTCCGGCGCACACATGCATGCAAACATCCCCCACTCACACCGACAGCAACACCTCACATCCGACACGAACAACCACATGTTTGCAGACTCACTGCGTTCTCTCCCATTTCGTGCTGTCTGTCTGTCTGCTTTGGTCGCCCGTCGGTGTCTGCCGATCGCTCATCGAGAAGGGATGCCTCTCCATGGACAGACGGCAGACACCGCCCTGAGACGAGAGCATACACCAAGACACACGAAACAGACACAACGCGATTGATGTATGTATCATCTCATAGCCGCTTTCTTCCCTCCCCGTGTCTGTCATTCGTGTGCCCCCATATGTGCAGGGCAGCAGATCGACGACGAGTCACCGGCCCATCAGTGTGTGTGACGTGCCGGCATTTCATCGAACGACGCGCCACCCGACACACACGGCAGCAGAAAAGGGGCAGAGAGAGCATACCACACGATACATAGTCGGAAGGGAAGGAAAATATGTTTGTGTGTATATGTACAGATCTGGCTGACTGCATACGAATACCTACATAGGTGGACATATACATATACATATACACTAGCCGCCCCGTGCACCACACTCAGACACAGGTCGAGATGATATGGCCGCCCACCCGCGGGCCGCCCACCAAGTCAGGCAGTCAGTCAGTCAGTCAGGCAGTCAGCCAGGCCGTTAGTCAGTTGATGTGCATGCCGGTGAGTGAGGCCACCAGGTGGCTCAGCGGGTCGCGCGCAGCCCGGGGAATCCGCAGCACATTGTCGCCACGCAGTGACAGCTCCTGTGTGGCGCACACTGACAGACTAACACGGTACCTGCACACACACACACACACACACGCACACACACACATGGTGTGTTGGTTCATCTGTGTGTGACCCCCCATTCCCCCTCCCACCGTGTGACGTCCGATTTGTTGAGTTGTGTGTGTGGCGGCAGGACCTCCTTCACCCTGCCCTCCAGGCCGTTGATCTCCGGCCGACGGACCACACCGCACAACCACACATCATCGCCAACTCCAACCGAACCAGACCTGGTCACACACAGAGAGAGCGGAAGTTGTGATGGCTGACAGACAAGCGGCTGCATATTCTCTCTGATTCAGTGACGCACTGACTCACTCACTCGGTATTGTCGTCTTTGCCTTTGGTGAGCTTTCTGACGTGCCCCTGGCACACGGCCATCCTGGCTAGGTGCAGTCGGAGTATTGCTCTGTCCTGCTCGGCCGGCCCAAACCACTTGAAGGCCTCCATGTTCTCCTCGACCTTCGCCCCCCTCTCTGCCCCAATGATGACGGCCGCCCACTTGGCGGCCAGCTCACGGCGGCCCGTAATGAGGCCATGGCGACTGAAGAAGAGGCCGTGGTGGGCCGTCATCAGACAGTCGGCATACGACTGGCCCAGGGAGTCGTCTTCGAGGGCCGTGGCGTAGTAGTAGCTGGCCAGCCATGTGGCTGCCGTGCCGTCGGAGTGCCTGACGGCCACCTCACGCAACGGGCCGCCCAGCTCATCGGCCACCGGAGCGGCAGACAACGACGAGCCAGAGGGCTTCTGGATGCGCTCAATGACACAGCAATTGTCCTGCAGACAGACAGACAGACAGACAGACAAACACTCCACTCAGAGAGTATCTCAATCTGTCTCACCTGTCGGCACGTGGGGCACCTGAAGAGGACCATCTGCTCACCCCGGGCGCCCGTCGGCCGCGACGCAGAATCGGCGAAAAACGCCTTGGCCTCGCCACTCAGACACTGCAGTGCCGGCAGTCAGCAAACATACAAACACAAGTGCATCCCTTCCTGCCTGCCTCTCTGTCTGCCTGCACTCACCTCAAAGCAGAAAAAGTGGTCGCATCTGAGCCTCGCGAGATCGGTCTTGCCTGCAAGTGCCTCATGGCAGATGACACACTGGGCATCTTTGGGTGGCATGACATAGCGCCGCGGGAGGACGTAGGCAGCCATGGGATGCCTTCCTCCTTCCGACGTATGAGTTATCTATGCCCCAACCCAACTCTGGTGGTCTATGCGTCACACACCAGCTGCACATGCACACACACGGCCAACAATACCTATGAATGCATTGTGCGCATTTCTCTCCACTGCACGTCCTGGCGACCATTTGCGAGCTTGAAATCCCCTAGGGCACACGGTGAAACCGCCATCTTGCGTGAGATCTGAGGCTTGTTTCTGTTTCCTTTCTCGTCCTTTTCCCTTCAATGAGTCGGCAGTTGTCAGTTCCCCATGTGGTGCAGCGGTTCTTCAATCCTGCTCTCTCCTCCTCCACCACGGAGGAGGACGATGACACAGTCACCAACGAGATGGTTCAGGGGGTGCTGGCGGACCACCAGGACACCAAGCAGCAGCTCCTCGCCACACAGAAGCAGCTGATTGACGAGCTGACGAGAGAGAGGGACGATTGGAAGAGGCGCTGTGAACGTGCCGAGGCGAAGCTGACCGAGTTCCAGGCACGTTGCGGCTACTTTGGGGCTCATCAGGATAGTGTGCTGACTGTACTGAGCGCGAGAGATCACGCGCAGCTGATCGAGTGGCTCGGCGGCGACAGGACGCTCGTCCAGCTATACAAGTAAGGCACACCAGCACCGCGATGTCCAGGCGGTGTTTCTTCATCAACCGTTCTCTCCCTTTGTGTGTGTACTTGTTTCTTTCTCAGGGCCACGCGTGATGGTGGGATGTATGGGAGCCTGCTGGACAGAGTGGGCGGTGCGCGTGGCCTCCTGTTCATCATCCGCGTCGGGTCACTTCGATTCGGTGCCTATATGAGCGGAGGCATCGACGTGCCCGACACCAATCGCCCTTGCGACGTATGGTTCTTTTCCCTCACTGGCCATGATTTCAGCGGCCCCACAAAGATCCCTTTGCGGCACAAAAACAATCAGATGGTCAGTATCGCCGCTAGGGATGGAGCACTCGAGAGCAGAACCGGTGAAAACAAGGCCAGAATGTGCATTGGTGGTGGGGGGATTCTGTGGCTGGGGTATGGCGATAATGATGCCCCTGCTGCGGACATTCGAAGGATTCAACACTGGGTGCACAAGGATGATGTGCCAGCGGGTTATACAGGGATGCGGGCTGCCGTCGCTGAGATATCGAGCTCCCAATGCGGCTTCCTGGGCAGCAACGAGCTCTTCACTGCTGAAGAGCTGGAAGTGTGGCATGTGGTTAGACTACATTTTGAGAGTGAATAGGCTTGTTTCTCTCTGCGTGCATCGGTCCGCGTTCGTCTGAGTGCTTCTGCACTGTGTCAGTTTTGTTATTTATACCGTGACGTGTTGACAGTGACGAGATTACCATGAAGCTGCATACATGTGTGCGGCATGACCATAGAAAGGCAGACTCTCCTGTGTGTGTGTGTAAGTGTGCGATTTCTCGTGGATCATGGATCTGTGCGATTCATCCTTAGCCGACCAATAATACACAGGCATGTCTCACAACCAAGGGGCTCTCCCCGAAACCGCTGCCTTGAGGGGCAGCCGATAGGTGAGCGAACGAGAAGCGCATTGTGGAGCAGATCCCAAGGCCACATCGTCCCCACCGACGCTCCCGTTCGTGTGGCGTGTGTGGAGCAGATCTCGGCTGTGTGCATGAGAGTCTCATGACGGCTCTTCCACTGGCACAGTGTGGCGTGTGTTTTGAGGACTACCACCACGAGGATACCGACAGGCAGCCTCAGGTGCTGTCGCGATGCGGTGAGTGAGGAACACACACAGGCAGTCAAGCAAAGGTTCTGAAAAGGAGGGAGGGGTGTTCTTTTGTATGTGTTTCATGCGCCCACCCATCCGTCTGTCAGGTCACTCGTTCTGCGCGGCGGTACACACACACGACAGGCAGACAGACAGACGGCTTTCATATCTAAATGAGGGGCTCGTGCGTGTTTGGTCGCTGTCCGTCTGTTGTGTGTCTGCAGTGTGTCCGGGGCCTCATTCGCAACCATCCTCATGACCGCCGCGCGGCTGTCTGCCCAATCTGCAAGCACGCCAACCAACCAACCAACCACTGTGCTCACAACTGTGTATGTGCATTTCTGTCAATCAGGCGAGAGACTTCACAGTCTGATGTGCACATCAACTACGACCTCCGTGACATCGTGCAGCAGCTGCGGACGGCCACTGCGGCAGCACCGGCACCGGCACCCAGCAACACGACACACTCGACACCCCCTGCTGTCCCTCCGACTGGCCAAGAAGCACCCCTCACGGCTCGCCAGCGGCAGGAGGCCGCCGACTATGCCTTAGCGCTGCAGCTGTCCAACGAAATCAATGACACAGACCCGCCGAGCAATCAGACGTGAGCAGCCCCTGCCTCTCTGCCTTACTAACCTCAATCAGGATGGTCGTTGGCTTTGCGTCTGTTCTGTGTATGTGTGTGTCGTTGGCAGTCCCTTCATTGGCGGCGGCGCTCCTCTCCGTCGTCGGACCGGCACACTGCCATCGTCTGGCTATCCATATGAGGTGGTGCAGGAGGGCACCGGCAGAGTGCCCACACTCAACGACCGCGTGAAGTACGACCGGATCTGGTGGGGTGATGCATTCGACGGTCGGGACAAAGTCTACGATGACCGTGGGCGGGTGTGGCGTGTGTATGATCGGTATTACTGGTTGAATGAGGCGTTGCTGGAGATGAGGGTGGGGGAGGTCAGGCAGATCACAATGCCATACGGCGCCCCCTACCGTCAGTTGCGTTTGGTCAGCATAGAGTAGGGGAGAGTCCACACACACACACAGGTGGGGCCGGCTGTGTGTGTCACACTTTGAGCGAGTGATGTTCCGTGCCTGGGTGTGAACGGGGTCACAACGCCGTTGTGATGTATATGGCGGGTGTGTGACGTTCGTCTCGGAATGTCTGTGTGCCCTTCTGCCTTTATCCTACCGGGTCAGCTGTAAGTGGGCCGGTCGGCCGCTGGCTGGCGGCGACACACGAGTGTTCAGTGTTCTGTGACAGAAAGGCAGAGAGGCAGACGGCCGCTCAGCCACACAGACAGACAGGTACAATGCATCTGCTGGTTTGTGCCTTTCCGTCGCTGTGTCTGTGTGTGGTCGCTGCCTTTGTCGCGTGTGAGTCTGTCAGCCGCTGGCGGCCCTTTCTGTCTGCCGCGAGTGTGCGTGGCGTTTGCAAGAGGGGCTTTATTTCTCTCCCCGTTGTGGTGGTCTGCACCAGACACCTCATGCGCATGACTTCCTAATGACACGCAGCGATGGCCATTGGCTTCATCTCGTGGCATCGTGGTGGCTCGGTGTGACTTAAATGCTGTGGTCGTGTTTGCTCGCTTATGACAGGCAGCGATGACCACATTGGCGTTGTTTCTTGGCATTCAAGGTGGCTTGGTGTTAAACTGCTGCACACCTTTGTCTTGCTGGGTGTCTGTCTGGTGGTCTCTTGGGGCTGCCAGTGGATGGTCTGCTGACGGCTTCTCTGTCTGCGATTGTCGGCCGGCAGAGAGGGCGTCAGCAGGTCGACGCTCAGCCACGAGAGACCACATAGACAGACACAACACATTCATGCTGGTTGAGTGTGGAGAGGATGACTGACTCGTGTGGGATTCTGTGAGTGAACCGTGAGGTCCTCCCTGTCGGGTGCACTCGGTGGGCGGTGTTCTGCTTTGAGTGCTTTGTCGACGTCTGCAGACGGCCTCTCTGTCTGTGGTCGACCTGGCAGAGAGACCGTCCGCCGAGGGGGACTTAGCCAAGAGAGAACACCGACCATTCACAGACGCATGAGGGGTGTCTTGACGATTTCTGTCTGTCGGGATGGGGGGGGAGGGCATGGAAGGGTCTCAATGTCTCTGTTCGGCTGCCTTTTTTCTCCCGGGTGGGTCGTTGGTGGGTCGGTGGGTGGCTGGCTGGAGACGACTCGTGTGTGACGGAGATAGACAAAAGGACATCCACTCGGTTCACACGAACGTGCGTCTGCACTGCTCGAGATGATTTTTCTCTCAACACAGCTCACGGCAGCTTTTTGTGTGCCGTGGGTGTGGCCGTGGCCGTGCCTGTCGTTTGTCAAGAGAGGCTTTATTTCTCTCCCCGTTATGCGCGTGTATGTGAGCTGTTATTCTACGCCACAAGCTTCCATGACTGACCCAGATGGGCAATACCTCCCGACTGCACGCGCGATGCGTTGAATGGGCTGGCGAGAAGAGAGGCAGACTGTCTGTGCGGGAGTGAGGATATCATGCCGCTGTCATGTGCATGGCGGGTGTGTCTGTGTCATGTTCTCTTCGTGCTAAGTCCTGTACGTCAGATCCACCAGCCCACGGACATCAATGCATCCTGCACGTGTGAATGGTTGATGTTTTTCTCTCGGCTAAGTCCCGCTCGCCAGACGGCTTCTCTGTCTGTGGTCGACCGCAGACAGAGACACCGTCAGCCGAGGGGGACTTAGCCAACAGAGAACAACACAGACCATGCACAGCCGCATAGAGCGGTGTCTTACGGTTTTTGTCTGTCGGGATTGGCAAATGAGTGCAGACATTTATTCATTCGACATCTGATCAACCGATGAGTCTCCCACTAACTATAATGACATCCGCCGTTACTCAATTACCGACAAAATTCCCTTACTCCTTTGCTGGGTCATTCAAAGGCAACTGTGTGTGAGTTTGATCCCCGAGTATTTGGGCCGGGGCTTAGCAAGGGAGAACACCAACCAATCGCACTCACTTTGGCAGGGGCCTGCGTGGTGTGGACTGACAAGGACTGGTGGACCACAGACGCATCAATGACTGTCGCGATTGACTCTCATAATAAAGTCGGTCAAGCAGTACTCCTTCATGGCCGCCTCACCACACACACACTGTACCCCCGTCGATGTGGGGCTGCGCACACAGAGACACCGCCAAGGAACCCCATGCCGCCCATAACGCACTCACACCAGACAAACACCACTCACAAGCAGTGCACACACATTGGTCGACCCCTTTCTTTCTCGCTCCACCAGACAGACAGGCAGGCAGACAGACAGACAGGCGAGAGACAAAGCCATTACACGACGGTTGGATAAAAGGCGAACGCCTCACGGAGCAATCGGACGCCGAGAGAATGCGGCAACAGGGCTGCAAAAATGCCAGACAGAAACTTTGCCCCTCACAATACACCCACTCACTCCACGGCTCAGAACCAAAGCACACAGGCAGACAGGCAAACGACGAGTGAAGAGCCCCCGGCCACACACATGAGTGTGTGACACACACAGCCGCCCCCCATGTGTGTGCGTGTGCGCAGTCTCTCCTACTCTATGCTGATCAAACGCAGCTCAACGTAGGGGGCATATTCGTCTGGCACTGTGACGTTCCTCACCTCCCCCTCTTTCATCGACAGCAACGCCTCATCCAACCAGCCAGCCCGACCAGACACACGACGCACCACCCCAAGGAGGTCATAGGCTTTGCTCTGGCCGTCGAATGCATCACTCCACCCAATCCGGTCGAACTTTAAGAGGTTGAGTGTGCCGGCTTTGGGCCTTCTGCCGGTGCCCTCCTCCACCACCTGATATGGATAGCCATACCGCGATGTGCCCGTCCGACGGCCGACACTGCTGCGGTTGGCCGGCTGCTGCTGTGACGATGAGGAGCCCTCCTTCCGCTGACGGAGTGTGGCACCGACGCCATTGCCGCCGCCAGCCGCTGCTGCGCTGCACACACAGAGATCTCAGGCAGACGCAGCACAAGGAGATCTGATCTGTGTGATGGCCTCTGCCCCTCGTCGCCTACGTGAGCTGTCTGAGGTCGTCTGTGACGTTGGCCGCCAGTCTGATGTCGCCGTAGTGCTCCGGGCGGATGGCCATCTGCTGCTCTTGGGCCTTGTAGTAGAAGCCGCCGCGGCCGTCGGTGAAGGTGTTGCGGCCCCAAAAGAGACCGACCAGCCGATCACTCATCGCGACGAGAGGCTGCTGATGGCGTCACTGCACACACACAGAGGACACAGACAGAGCGATGAATGAGAGAGAGATCTGTCACTGCATCGATCTGTACGGCTTCTTTGTTGACCTCTTGAGTGCTGTTCCGTGTCTGCGTCCACTGGCGATGGATTACTGACGGATGGCGACAGCGCAGTGCCTGAGCACATCAGCAAGAAGACAGAATGAGTCGCCTCACAGATAGCCCTTATCGCCGGCTGCCTGAGGCCTCCATGACCCACCTGATGCCCCAAGACGGAGTCTGCGAGCTTAGCTGCCGACCGGGAAAGAAGTGTCCCGGCGGAACGGGCAAAGGAGCACAGCGGTGAGCCACAGAGAGGCAGCGCACACGTAGATTGCAAAGCAGAGCGAGATCAGTTGCATCATCGCCTCTCTGTGCTGTGTCGTGTGTGTCGCTGCAGGCATCATGACCACGTTTGGCCGCACGTTGGTCGGCCTCACTGTGTGGGGCGAGGGCAAGGCTTACAGGTCCCCTGCGGGTGAGCTGTTGTGTGACCGTCGTGGACAACGGACTGCTGAGGGAGGTGCGGCTGCCCGACAACAGCGGGGTGCGCTTCTTCGATGGCCCCATTAGCAACCGGCCGACACTGCTGCCGTTGCCGCAAGGACCACCGAACAATCAGATGTAAGCAAGAAGGACACCTCAGTCTCAGTCATGCCGCAATTGTGGCTGATGATTGGCGCTGTGTCTGCTCTCTCTCTCTCTCTCTGTGTGTGTGTGTGTGTGTGTGTGTGTCGTCGGCAGTCCCTTCATTGGCGGCGGCGCCACTCTGCGCCGTCGAACCGGCACACTGCCATCGTTTGGCTACCGGTATGAGGTGGTGGAGGAGGGCACCGGCAGAGTGCCCTCACTCAACGACACCGTCAAGTACGACTGGATTGAGTGGCGTGATGCATTCGACGGCCGGGACAAAGTATTCGATAGGCGTGGGGAGGTGTATCGTGTGTCTGTTTATAGTGGGTGGTTCCGTGAGGCATTGCTGGAGATGCGTGAGGGGGAGGTCAGGCAGATCAAAGTGCCATACGGCAGAGGCCCCTACCGTCAGCTGCGGTTGGTCAGCATAGAGTAGGAGAGAGTCCCCACACACACACATGTGGGGGCGGCTGTGTGTCACACACTCATGTGTGCGGCCGGGGGCTCGTCACTCGTCACCTGCCTGGCCGTGTGCTCTGGCTTTGAGCGAAGGAGTGAGTACGTTGGCTGTGTGTCTGTCTGTCTGCGATGAGTGGATGAGCGAGCGTCGTCTGGGTGGCCGCCTTGTTTATCGGTCGGCCGGCCACAGTCTCTCTCTCTCTCTCTGTGTGTGTGTGTGTGTGTGTGTCCGATCTCATTATGTCTGTCGCGCTGCGTTGAGAGGGGAGGGCTGCCGTCTCGGAATGTCTGTGTGCCGTTCTGCCTTTATCCTACCGGGTGAGTTGTAAGGGTGTCGGTCTGTCAGTTGGCTGGAGGCGACACACGAGTGGGTGCTGTGCTCTGTGTGTACCATAGGCAGACTTTCGCTCAACCAAAGAGAGACAGCACACGACGGCTCACAGACTGGATGGGCCTCTTTGTGCCTGCCGTCGTCGGGATGGTTTATCTCTCACCGTGTGTGTGTCTGTTGTCGCTGCCTTTGTCGCGTGTGCGTCTGCCAGACACTCAGGGCAACTTTGTGTCTGCCGTCAGTGTGCTGATGCTGCTGCCTGTGGGCCGTGCTGTTGGTCGAGAGAGCCTTTATTTCTCTCGGTGGTCGTGTTAACTCGCTAATGACAGGCAGCGATGACCACATTGGTTTTTTTTCATGGCATTCATGGTGGCTTGGTGTTACACTGCCGCACACCTTTGTCTTCCTGTGGGTGTCTCTGATGGTCTCTTGAGACTCACAATCGATCGGCTGAGGTCTTTTCTGTCTGTGGTTGACGGCCGGCAGAGAACACGCCAGCCGATCGGCGCTGAGCCGCGAGAGACCACATAGACAGACACAACACATTCATGCAGATTGAATGTGGGTGGGTAAGTGTGTGTGGTGCCCTCTTATGCTATGTCCCTCACTGCAGACGGCTTCTCTGTCTGTGGTCGACCTCAGGCAGAGACACCGTCAGCCGAGGGGGGCTTAGCCAACAGAGAACATCAGCCATTCACACACACATGGAGGGGTGTGTGTTGACGATTTTTGTCTGTCGGGATTGGCGATCGAATGAGTGCAGACATTTATTCACTCGACATCTGATCTGATCAAGCGATGGGTCTCCCACCAAATATAATGACACACATAAGAGTCAACCACCCACTCACCCACTCACAAAACTCCCCTACTCATGCTCCATGGCTCGCTTCATCTCACAGACACCCACCACTCATCCATTCATCCATCTGTTTGGGTCGATCCATCACTGTCATGACGAGAGTATGGCGTTGAGTTTGATCTCCGAGTACTTGGGGCCCTTGAAGCCCGTCATCTCGGTCGGCACCACTATAAGACGCACCTCACCCACACTGACACGCACACAAGAGGCAGACATCGATGTGTGTGTGGATGGGTGGCTGCAGGCCGACTCACCGCATAGCTGTGAGTGCCTCTCTCTTCCAGTCGTAGGGCACGTCAGACACACGCCACTGACGACGGGACTCCTCCAACCACCTGCACGCAACACACACATCCAGCCATCCATCCGTCGATATAGTGAGTGCACCTCTGTGTGAATGCATGTGTGTGTACCTCTTCTGGCCATTGAATGTGTCACGCCAAGCCTTGTCATCGAACCTCACTGCACACCCACGCACATACGCATGGCGTCCGAATGCATCAACGGGCGGTTCACGGACTCACTCACCCACTCACCCATGTCGTCGATTGTGGGCGATGGTCCCTCTCCGGGGGTCACGATCTGATAGAACGCGCCACTTGGTGCCTCAGTGAACCCTGCCAACACACTCCGACGGGCACTGCACACACACACAGAGCACTGATGGACACACAGCTTTTCTTTCTGCACGTGCGCGTCTGTGGTTGGCGTGTTCTTACGCGGTCTCGTCTTCGGTCTCAAAGCAGAATTTGATGTCCTGATAGAACTGTGGCTTGATGGGCAGCCTCTCGCCCTCAAAGTTGACCTCTATCGTATAGCCACCTGCATACACAGGTACGTGGATGTGCGTGGATGAGTCTTTGTTTGTGTCAGCGAGTGTGTTGTGCGCACCATATCCATCTCTGTAGACATTCCTGCCATCGAACAGCCCCACAGCACGCTCACCAACCGGCCATGGACTCGCTGCACACTCACAGACACCACACACACAGAGAGAGAAAGAGATCCATTCATCCATCCATCAGTCTGCTTTGCTCAGCTCACTGCTCTTCTGCTGCTGCTCTGGCCATGCTGTCCATGGCTGCTGCGCCGTCACCATCGCCCTCCTTGTGTGCATCTGCCTCTGTTGCATCATCTGCAGGTGGCCGCTGCCGCTCCTTTGCTGCAGCAGGAAGGCACTCACGCATCCAGAGGACCACAGCAGCACGTGCCACACGACGAATCGGATGCTTATGGCTGCTGAGATCTGTATCCGCTCGCCGGCCTCCATCACGCAGCCCTCTCAGAAGCTTGGGATCTTGGGTGTCGAAAGTGCGAGCTGGAATGGCTTTTCCCCGCTAAGCTTGCAGACGAACTGGGCAAGAAGGAGAAGGCAGCGCGAAGGCTGGATGGCTTGATATGGCCAGAAGTGTGTAGATCTGTGCTTGCAACACACGCCTTCTCTGATATTGCTCTCGTTCTTTCGTTATGCATGAGGATGCATGACGTGACATCAGCATCTCTCCTCCTGCTTTCCTTCATCGCCGGCATCTCCCTCGCCGATGGCTCTGCAGCCTCTTTGCATCCACGGCGGCCGTCCTCCTTCCTCCAGCCACTTCCTCCTTGCTGTCAGCAGCGGCTAAGGCTCACAACCACCCGGCTGCACGCAGAGGAGAGGCCACGCGCGAGGAAGAAGGTCGACTCTGCGTACTATCTGCCGTCAGATCCTGGGCAGTTCGTCAAGTCGGTAAGAAGCCCTGCGCGCTGACAGGTGCCTGACCGGTGAGATGAATGTGTGTTCGCTCGTTTCTGGTGTGGTATGTGGCCTGCTTGTCAGGTGGATAGCAAGCGTGTCAAGAGGAAGCCGAAGCTGGAGAGTGCATGGGACGAGCCGGAGCCGGCATATGCAGAAGAGCAAGAGCCGCAGGAGGAGTGGCCACCGGCGACAGCCACCAGGCCACCACCATCACCACAAGCAGCGGAGCCTGCCGAGAAGAAGAAGCCTTTGATGACTATATTCGGTATGATCGATATGGTTGAATGTGCACACACCCAACACGTGTGCCTGCCTGCCTATGTGTGTGTGTGTCAGGTGTGGATCTGTCAGTGCCTAGTGTGAGGGCTGCCTCCAGCAGAGGGAGGCAGGTCAGAGAGGCCATCGAGACTCTGCCCGCCACACCCAGCACACCCACCGCACCCATCCCACCAGCCCCACCGACCCCACCGGCCAGACCAACCCCACCGGTCCCACCGTTGAGACGGATCGCACCGACGACACCGCGTGAACCCGGGGATCAGTACTATCAAGAGACGGTGCCTCGCGCGGCGCCTGATGCGTTTGTTACGAAGAGGCGACGGCCGCCTGCGGATATTACGTTTGAGAGATATGTGGTGGGCAGCAGGGCTGTCAGGAAGGCATATGCAGGTATGTATGGATCTCTCTCTCTCTCTCTCTGTGTGTGTGTGTGTGTGTGCGTCCGTCAGGCCTTCTCGGAGGAGGATGCAGAAATCGCAGAGCTTGAGGCAGAGGTGAGGGAGAGGAAACCACACATGTGTTTATGTGTATCTGTGTGTGTTGCCTTGTGCTGTCTTGTCTGTGTGTGTGCAGGTGTCCGGTCTGCAGCGTGAGTTGTCTTCGATCAACGCGGCCGCAGCGGAGAATATGAAGCTCAAAGCTGAGCCGGGATTCTACTTCAAGTACACACACATGCACAGACAGACAGACAGACACGCAGAGACAGGCAGACAGCGACGATTGCTTGTGTCACGGTTGGTGTTGGTTCAGTGTTGAGTATCTGAAGGAGGAGATCGACATCAAGAAGGAACTGCTCAAGGCGCTCAAGAAGAAGAAAGACGAAAGAGGTGAGTACGTATGTGTGTACATATATGTACAAATGTGTACGAACGTATGCGTGTATATGTATACAAACGTGTACGTGTACATGTACATGTACATATGTATGCGTGTACGTATGCGTCCATGTGTACATATATGTACGTATGACATATATGTACGTATGTACGTATGTATGTATGTACATGTACATATTTGTATGTATAAATGTCTGTACGTTTGTGTATGCGACGTGTGTATGTGATCTGTGTCTCCGTTGCAGCTTTCGAAGTGGGCAGAATTGCCAAAAGGCATCGTAAGCAGCGGCTGAATGCGACACACACGCATCCATCCGTCCACACGCCGGTGTTCTGTATGTGTTGGTTGGTTCAGGTGACAAGGTGGATTTTCTGATGCGAACCGAAGAGATCAGAATTAAGAGAGGACGCTTTTGACCCCCTGAGCGAAGAGAGTGAGTGAGTGAGTGAGTGAGCGATGTTGTTGGTGTGGATAGACTGACCGAGGCATGCGCATGCATACGGATGAGGCAATCGACTGACGAGCAGGCACTCATAGCTGTGCTGTGCATGCCCTGACGCCAACAGACTTTGCAGGCGTATGAATGACTTTCCTTTACGACAAGGGTTCTTTGCGCTGCGCAAACTGTGTACGTGATTCCTGCAGGCAGTGACCAGGCAGACAGCCGACAAACCCAAATCACGGCCGGGTCATGTCAGTGTCTTGAGTATTTATTTGTCATGTCAGGCATGTACACGGGACAAAAAACTGACTTGACAACACACTGTCCTTACACCATACACACACACAGAAACCACGAATCGCACACAAACATCAACAACGCATTCCCTCCTTTACTCGACACCGGAGGCACACAGTCAGCCAGTTAACGAGGGAGGAGCCCCGGCCACACACATGAATGTGTGGCACACACAGCCGCCCCAATGTGTGTGTGTGTGGACTCTCTCCTACTCTATGCTGATCAAACGCAGCTGACGGTAGGGGGCATAATATCCGTTTGGCACTGTGATTCGCCTGATCTCGCCCTCCTTCATCGACAGCAACGCCTCAATCAGCCACCCACGCAGATCAGACACACGCTTCACCAGCCCACGATCATCGTATGCTTTGACCCGGCCGTCGAATGCATCCCGCCACCCAATCTCGTCGAACCTGACGCGGTCGTCGCGTGTGGGCGCTCTGCCGGTGCCCTCCTGCACCACCTCATATCGATAGCCAGATGGCAGTGTGCCAGTCCGAGGCGCCACACTGAGATGAACGGAACCAAGATGGCCAATTGCTGCAGTCTGCTCCCTGTTGGGCTTCACCTGGCCTGTGGTGTCGGTGTGTCCGTCTTGACGATGCCGTACATGGCCGTGTTGATGTCAAATGGCGCCTGGTCCGTCTCGCCAGCCATCGTCAGGACGGCGGCCATGTCGGCCAGCGAGGCGCCGAGTCGCTTTCTGCGGTAGTAGTCGACCATGCGGCCGATGTGGTCGGGATCGACCACCTCCACCGCACGGCTGCTGGACCACCTGACGGCACACAAGCAGTGACCAGCACATCGGTGTGTCGTTGTGTGTTGCTGTGATGTGCTCACAGGTCAAATCGGTGGCTGAGTGCGATGTCGCCCATCTCGTCCACAGTGGACTGAGTGGTCGAGATGAGCTGACCGCACACCTCGACCGACCGAATGGCATCGCCGCCACTCAGAGGCAGCAGAAAGGACTCGACGGCCTAAGACACACACAGCCACAACCATCAGACCAACGGCCTCTCTCTCTCTCTCTCTCTCTCTCCCCCACCCTCTCTGCTCATGTCGTCACCTGAATCTCGTTGTCGAGGTTGTCGCGTCGTGTGTTGGCGGCCCGCAGCTGCCCCTCCAGCCGGGCCCTCTCAGCGGCATATGCCCTTACAATGCCCTCGAGCTTCCTGACTGTGTCGCCGCTGCCGGGAGGCATGTCAGTGGCCGTCAGCCGGGGCACAGAAGTGCCACTGTGAATGGCCTCTGTGGCATCCTTGTCGAGAGGCATCATCAACAACTTGACCCAGAAGCCATGGCGACCTGCAACACACACACCACACACAGACAGCCAAAGGAATAATGACGACACAAGGAGAGTGTGTCATCGCCTTCATTGCCCTCACCCTTGTCGCGCTTGGCCACTTCATTGAGCAGGTGGCCGACCGACGCCGCTTTGCCGGCGCTGCGAAGGGTCTCGGCGTTGAGGATGGCCTTGTGGACGGCCTTGAAGGCCTTTGGGCAGATGTCGACGAACACCCGCTGGCTGTCGTCCTTGACGAGTCGGACCTCCCAGCAGCCGCCGAAGAGGGCCGCCAGCAGAGTGCCCTCCACCCCCTCTCCCCGAGTCATGTGCTGCCGCCTGACGCTCATCAGATGGCCGCCCACATTCAGCAGCAAAGTGTCGTCAGGCGAGGCCGCCGAGGGGTCCGATGTGTGGTGCTGCTGCCTCTCTCGCTGGGCGTCCTCGTCAGCCTGGCGGATGTGTGCGTGCAGCTGGCTGATGGCGTCACCGATGGCTGTCACGGGCACGTGCAGCTCATTGAGAATCGCATGGGCGCTGAATTGGTGAGCGACCAACTCGGCCTTCATCGTCACACCGCAACAGATCTCTCACCGGCAGTGGCTGAACCACACACAGACAGACCGATACGAACGGATCTGTGTGTTTCTCTATTGCTTTTGCTTCGTCTTTCCCACCTGATGCTCGCGCCTGTCCCCTTTCAGCCCTTTGAGTAGCGGCAGCGGTTCCTGGCGGGGTTTCAGAGCCCTTTCGAGTGAGAGAGCGGTTTCACGGAATGAGTTCACTGCGAGCTTGACGGAAAGAAGGGAAACGGCGTGAGCTGAGGGCCGAACGGCGCATCATAGTGAGCTGAGTGGGCTGGTTGACCGACATCAGAAGTCGCTTTGGCAGATCACTCATCAGCCGCAGCGCAGTAGAGGTGAGCTCCTCCAAAACGAGAGAGAAGATCTGATGCGACGCGATGCGTCACTGTGGATGGGCGGCGGCATGTGTGTGTGTGTGTGTGTGCAGGAGGGCCATGAGTGACCGTGTTGTCGGACTGCTGGACGGCCATTTCGTCTATGCTGATGGCCATGGCGGCTATGCTGTGAAGGTTGAGGGCGAGCGGGTGGCCATCGACCCGTCATTCAACAGAGATATCAAGTAGCACAAACACCAGCAGTGAGCGACCGAGCCGCACTCAGCCGTGTTGAGCATTTCTGATTTGGTGTGCCATTCTGTGTGTCAGGCCATCTGTCGCTGGTGCCAAGCGCCGCCGTCAGGACGATCACAACGGGCCACAGCAGCCGGCAGCAGCAGCAGCGGCGGCGGCCAGTGATAGCAACGGCATCACCATCCCTGAGGGCTTTGTGCGCCTCCCCACTGGCGCGTATCACAAGGTGGTAGAGGAGGGCACCGGCAGAGTGCCGACCCTCAATGACCGCGTCAAGTTCGACTGGATTGCGTGGCGCGACGCATTCGACGGCCAGAACAAAGCATTCGATGATCGTGGGTGGGTGATTCGTGTGTCTGATTGGGCTGAGTGGTTTCGTGAGGCGATGCTGTCGATGAGGGAGGGGGAGGTGAGGCGGATCCGCCTGCCAGACGTTGATATCCGCTACCGTCAGCTGCGGTTGATCAGCATAGAGTAGGAGAGAGAGAGTGCACACACACACTCGTGTGTGTGGCCGGGGGCTCTTCACTCGTCGCCTGGCTGACTGTGTGCCTCGGTGTTGAGCGATGGAGTGAGCGTATCGTCATGGCTGTCTGTAAGATCTGTCTGCGATGAGTTTAGAAGCGAGTGAGCCGACGAGTTGCTTATCGGTCGGCCACTCACAACCTCTCTCGCTCTGTGTGTGTGTGTCTGTCTGTCTGTCTGTCTGATTGGTCTTCTTTTTGTCTGCTTGTTCGTCAAGTGATCTCTTCGTCCGCTGTGTGTGTGTGTGTCTGTGTCTGTCTCTACGCGTCTGTTTATATGGAGGTTGGAGTGTGGGGCGGTCAATTGAGCACCGGCGGGTCAGTCAGTCAGTCAGTCAGTCAGTCAGATAAACGGCCTCTCCTCTCTTTCTCTACGCCCTGACAGATAGACAGACAGACAGCCATACAAAGAGACCTGTTGTGTTTGTTTGTCTGCATATGGCGGCCGCCCGACTGATAGACAGACAGCCGAGTGGCCCTACCTCTGTCTGTCTGTGTGCCTTTCCTTTGCACCGGTCGGCTGTGTCGACGGCCGACATGGTGTGTGCAGCCGCTGACTGACTGAATGGATAGCTGGCCAGCGAGAGGAACGGACGGAGGCACACACGACAGAGCAGCCGAGGGATTCAGACAGCCTGAAATGTGAGATACCCTTTTGAGCAGCCGGCCATTCTGATATGATGTTCGTTGGTGCTGCTGGACAGACAGACAGACAGCGGTGGATGGCTAGATGGTCCCTTCTCGGCAGCAGACTGCTTAGCTAGGGCGAGTGCCCTCTGGGGGGGGGGGGTGAGGGAGGTGGGGGTGTGTGTCGGCTGCATCTTCCTGACTGCTTAGATGTGTCGATAGCAAACGGATCGATGCGATTAATCCGATCAATGCAGTGAGACACATTATTGCATCTCGTCGACACAGTCAGTTTGATGGACACTGCCATGTAGAGTCGATGTCCACACGCACACACACATTCACCCCCGATGAGGTCTGCCTGCCGACAGTCACAGACACAGACACTAAGGAGATCAGCCGGCCGTCGCCCGCAGCCAGGCAGACATGCATTAAGTGGATGGATGGACGGGCGAGGGAAGTGGCTTCTGTGCCGCAATCATGCGTGGATGTATGTAGTTGTACAAGCAGGCGACAGCCGGTGACAACCGCCCAGAGCCGCCTTCGTTTCTCAACATTGTAACGTCAACTGATGGCAGACACACAAATACACACGGCAAGAGACGTGTGTGTATCTGTGTCTAGGTGGAGCGCTCGAAGTGGTCGGCATGGCACGCTCTGGATGGCCTGCCATGTCGCGAGGCGATGCACCAGTTTGTGAATATGATGGACAGGGTTGTGCCCGACTGGCGGGCGCATGCTAAGTGGGGGGATCAGGGACGATAGATAAGCCGTCATCGGCTGATAAGTCGTTTGCGCTATCTCTCTCTCTCTCTCCCTCTCTCTCTCTCCCTCTCTGCGTGCGTGGCGGGTGTGATTTGTGGGAGCGTTTTGTGTGTGAGATGGATGAGGGTACGAGAGCATTCATGGAACAAACAAATGCTACACCGAAAAAAGTCATCACGGTCCGATACAGCTCACGGCAGAGGACACTCACCCATCCCCTCATGACATGAGTGGACATCATGCACACCAACATCAGCGGCCTGATAAAAATGTGCGCTTTTCTTCATGCCCCTGCCCTTGCACACACGCTGGACAATTCACGACACATCCACGCATAGAGAGTGATATGGCTAGTAAAATCACAAGGCATTTCCTCTTTGCCACTCAAATCTCAGACACACAGTCAGCCAGACAACGAGGGAAGAGCCCCCGGCCGCATGCACACGAATGTGTGACACACACAGCCGCCCCCACGTGTGTGTGAGTGTGTGTGTGTGTGGACTCTCTCTCTCCTACTCTATGCTGATCAAACGCAGCTGACGGAAGGGAGGTACTTTCTGTGTCTTCCACCGCCCCCGGCTGGCACCGCCTCGCCGGCTCTCTGTTGTCAAGAACCGACCAAGAAGGTGAGAGCCGCCAGAGAGAAGACGCAGCAATCAGCACGGCCACACCAGCGTCACATCCACACCAACCAAACAAGGCGACACCACCAAAACCAACAGGCTCTCTTTCGACCGGCAAGCGAACATCATCCCAGCACACACATTGACGGCACCATGGTTTGTAGACAGCAAGCATACACATACACACACATACACACACATACACACACACACACACACACACAGAGAGAGAGAGAGAGAGAGAGAGAACCTGCCACTATCTTCAGGCACCGGATGAGCGTCACGTGCACGCAGACCCTTTTTCCACTACCCCTACATACTCTCAGCTACCGAGGAACAGCCTTTGGTCGAGCTCTTCACCGACGCCTGGTGTCGCTTGAGCTGGTGGATGAGGGCGTGGTAGTGCTGCAGCGGCTCACGCAGCTTGGGGTATAGCACCACCCGAAGTCGGGGAAATTGGCGGAATCGCCTGGAAAATCGGCTGCGGGAGCGGCGAGGGATCGATCCCCGGCAGCCTGGGGCTGTAAGTCGGCTGCGTGATCGGCCGGAGCGGCGGGGGATCGATCCCCGGCAGCCTGGGGCTGTAAGTCGGCTGCGGGATCGGCCTGGGGCTGTAAGTCGGCTGCGGGAACGGCGAGGGATCGATCCCCGGCAGCCTCCCGCCGTCAGTCGGCTGCGGAATCTCCAAGACGACGTCCTCGATGCCGTATTGTCCGAAGGGGGTCTCATATACGTCGGCCCCCTGGGACGCATTGCTGTCCTTGACCAGCCACCTGCAGCAAAGAAACAGACAGACAGACAGACAGACAGACAGCCAAATAGAGAGAGGGAGAGAGAGAGAGACGGAGAGCCGAACAAAGTGCCTCCTCCTCACTTACATCAACTGGCCGTCTTCTGTTGTCTTATAGCCAAAGATCACCACTGCATGAGCGCCGGCAGGCGTTTGATAAGCGACTGAATCAAGGCAAAGTACAGAAGCCAGCATCTCGCTTGTTGTTGTTGCTGTTGGCTGTTGTTGCCGGTCACCTGACACGACAGGCCCTGACCGTTTGAGAGACCTGAGGCCACATGAACAGAGGAGAAGAACAGAGCTCGTCGAAAGTGCGGCTGCGGCATTGGCTTTGCAGGCCGCTACCTGCGGATCTCGTCTTGCCCCTGAAGGCGCTTTGGGGGGATTCCAGTCAGAGATTCCAGTACCTTCTCAGGATACCCCTCCCTCTCAGACCCGCAGTGAGGCATCGCCTGGGGAGGTACTGGAACCAGTCGAGTGTTGCTGGGGATGTTGCTACCCGACAGGAACCAGCACCTCAGTGCCGTGACCGCCGAGTGGAACCAGCACGTGCCGAGGTGTTGTTGGATGGGTTCCTCAAGGACCGGGCAGAGAGCAGGGAAGGCATCTCGGCAGTCGAAGCTTGGTGGCAGCCAGTCCGACATCTCTCAGTTCGCTTGGTCTGTGTTTGGCCGTGGGACTACGCTGATGTTGGCACGCAACAGTCAGGATCCATTGCGAGCTTGGCAGGGAGAGGGCGTTGCAGAGGGCGAAGGGCGTGCCGATAGTGAGCTGAGTGGTTTGCTTGACCGACATCAGAAGTCATTTTGGCAGATCACTCATCGGCCGCAACACAGTAGAGGTGAGCTCCTCCAAAACGAGAGAGAAGATCTGATGCGACGCGATGCGATGCGGCGCTGTGTGTGTGGGCGTCATGTGCCCGTGTGTGTGTGCAGGAGGGCCATGAGTGACCGTGTTGTCGGGCTGCTGGACGGCTATGCCGTTTATGAGGACGGCCACGGCGGCTATGAGGCGGACGTTAGAGGGCAGCGAGTGGCCATCAAGCTCTCGTTCCATTCGCACATCAAGTTCTGCTTCGAACACCACGACGTGAGCGGCCGAGCCTCACACAGGTGTGTTGCACTCTGACTGACTTGCTGCCCTTTTGTGTGTCAGGCCATCTGCCCGTTCCAAGCGCCGCCGTCAAGACGACCACAACGGGCCACCAGCAGCAGCAGCCGCCGCTGCAGCAGTGGGCGAGGGAGCGGCGGTCAGCAATGGCAACATTCCTGAGGGCTTCGTGCGGCTCCCCAGCGGTCGCTACCACAAGGTCGTGCAGGAGGGCACCGGCAGAGTGCCCACCGCCGACCAGCGCGTCAAATTCGACGAGATTGGGTTTACTGATGCATTCGACGGCCAGAACAAAGTCTCCGATTACCGTGAGTGGGTGATTCGTGTGTTTGATGGGATTGAGTGGTTCCGTGAGGCGGTGCTGTCGATGAGAGAGGGGGAGGTCAGGGAGATCATCACGCCAATCGGATCTGCGCCCACCTACCGTCAGCTGCGGTTGATCAGCATAGAATAGGAGAGAGTGCACACACACACAAATGAGTGGGGGCGGCTGTGTGTGTCACACTCATTCATGTGTGTGGCCGGGGGCTCTTCCCTCGTCGACTGGCTGACTCTGAGCCTCTCGGTGTTGAGCGATGGAGTGAGCGTCTCGTCAAAGCTGTCTATAAGATCTGTCTGCGATGAGTTTCGAAGCGAGTGTTGTCTGTCTGATTGGTCTTCTTTTTGTCTGCTTCTTCGTCAAGTGATCTCTCCGCCCGGCTGTGTGTGTGTGGGTGTGTTATGTAGATACATCACTCCAGGTTGGAGTGAAGGGCGGGTAAGTGAGCACCAGCGAGTCAGTCAGTCAGTCAGATAAACGGCCTCTTCTCTCTTTCTCTACAGACAGCCATACAAAGGGACTCGTTGTGTTTGTTTGTCTGCATATGGCGGCCTCCCGACTGATAGACAGACAGCCGAGTGGCCCTACCTCTGTCTGTCTGTGTGCCTTTCCTTTGCACCGGTCGGCTGTGTCGATGGCCGACATGGCTTGTGTCCAGCCGCTGACTGACTGGATAGCTGGCCAGCGAGAGGGAGGGAGGCACACAGGGTGTGGGACAGGGTTTTTGTGTGCACTCTCTCTCTCTCTGTCTGTGCGTGTCAGGGTGGGTGTGCGTAAGTGACACGAATAATGCGACTCGTTGTGTCTGTTTGCACGGCGGCCGATCGTTTGATAGACAGCCAAGCGGCCCTGTCTGCTCACCGATGGAACGAGGGATGGATACCTCTCTGCTGTGATGCTGCGGTCCATCCATCCACACGGTGTACCGACATATAGAGCAGCCGAGACAGATCGGTGGATGGACGGATGGGCCATTCACTTGACGGATTTAGGCGATTGTATGTGCAGCATATTGCCAATAGGCTTACTGACTGACTGAGAGAGAGAGGGGAAGGGGAAGCCAGCCTCTCTGTGTGTGTGTGTGTGTTGTGCTGCGTTATATAGCTTGCTGCAGGGAGGGAGGGTGACGATGTGCCCATCATGGACTCTCTCTCTCTCTCTCTGTGGTGTGGTCAATTCATTCAGTCAGCCATCGTGGGGGAAGCCGTGCATCAGTGAGTCTGACAAAAAACGGGAAAACACTCATCAGTCCACGGCATACAATCAGTCCGATAGCCAGGCACCAGTCAAACCCTCACCCAATTGGCGGCCACCACCCCAGCCCCACCCCCACCAGTGTGCCCCCACTGATCACGTCGGTCTCCAGGTCAAAGTGCCGCAGCACGCCACACCACAGGGGCATCGACATCGGGAAGCGCTGGGCGAGCGGCTGTGACGGATCGTCGACAGGTGCCTCGGCGGTCCACAGATGCATGGCGTGAGGCCCCACCGTCAGATGTGCAACAGCGGTCTCGCCCGGCCGGAATCCGCTCGCTATCACCCGTCGATGGTCACTTGCATCAGCAGCATTCAGATTGCCTTGGTCGTAGCGATGGTCCACAGCGATACCCAGATCCTCGGGGATGCCCTCGGTCAGCAGACGGTCACGGCGAGAGTCGCCATGGCCGATGGGCGCGATCAGCACCACATTATAGTTCCACCAGCAAAGGATATCGTGCAGCAGAAGCGCCGAAAAGGCGGGAAAGAGTTCGTGGTCGCCCGAATTAGCAAATCGGACGGCGGGGTCGGTCCGCTTGTAGCCGCGAGCATAGCGATGCCCAACCGGGAGGTCACCAAAAGGCACCACGCGAAACGACCTATGGCCGATCCGATAGCCCCCATAGCGCCGATCCGATAGCCACAGCGCCAGGCTGGTCCCATTGTTGTTGAGTAGGTGGCCGAAGAGGCGGCCATTGTTGTTGAGTAGGTGGCCGAAGAGGCGGTAGATGGCCATGGCCAGGGGCAGCTCGTGGAATGTCGCCATCTCCCACGAGTGAGCCGACAGCCGCAGGGGCAGAGCCGCATTGGGTGTGAGCCGACAGATGGCGGCCAGCCGAATGAAGTGCCCCATCGCCCGCCACTCGTCGCCACTGCCGGCTGCAAGCACGTAGGCCACCTTCAGGCCGCCCTCCAGATCGCCGATGTCGAAGTCCAGGACGTCCTGCACGCTCAGACGACTCATTACCGCCTCGACGTGCTGCTTGACGAGCTGCAGCATCATGTCCACTTTGTGGGGGTGGCTGTTGCTGCTCTTGGCGATGAGTGAGAGGAGTGTAGCCCGTCTGGCGGCGTGAGGCGACATTGCCATGTCGGCCGCCCTGCCGATGGCCATGCCGAGCAGAGAGGGGACCGACGAAGGAAGAGGCTGGGATGAGGGCGTCGCACCAGTCGGCTGCATGGCCGTCACACTCAGCCCTGACGTGATCAGAAACACACAAAATAGCAGTTGTTTGCAGCATCAACAGGCTCCCGGTCGGTCCCTGCCCTCTTACCCTCGCTAAGCGGCACAAACAACGGCCAACTCGGCCTCCATCATCGCAGCACAACAAATCCCTCACCGGCAGTGCCTCAACCACACACAGACACACAGACACCGATGTGAACGGATCTGTGAGTTTCGATTGCCTGTGGCTCTCCAAGGGGGGAATAAAACGCCTCCTTCTCCGAACCCTTCTCCGTTACGTGCGAGCTTGACCCCGAAGGAGAAGAGAAGCGGTCATCAGCTGAGAGGAAGGTGTCGATAGAGTGAGCTGAGTTGGTTGGCTGTCGAGATCTGACGTCGCTTTGGCAGATCACCCATCGGCCGCAGCGCGCCAGTAGAGGTGAGCACCGCCGAAATGAGAGAGAGAAGATCTGATGCGATGCGATCTGCTCACTGTGGATGGGCGGCGTCGTGTGCCCGTGTGTGTGTGTGTGCAGGAGGGCCATGAGTGAGCGTGTTGTCGGGCTGCTGGACGGCCGTGATGTCTATGAGGACGGCCGTGATGTCTATGAGGACGGCCACGGCGGCTATGCTGTGAAGGTTGAGGGCGAGCGGGTGGCCATCGACCCGTCATTCAACAGAGATGTCAAGTTCTGCTTCAAACACCACCAGTGAGCGACCGAGCCGCACACAGCCGTGTTGAGCATTTCTGACTTGGTGTGCCATTCTGTGTGTCAGGCCATCCAAGCGCCGCGGTCAGGACCAGCACAACGGGCCACAGCAGCCGGCAGCAGCAGCAGCAGCAGCAGCAGCAGCAGCAGCAGCAGCAGCAGCAGCAGCGGCGGCGGCGGCGGCCAGCGATAGCAACGGCATCACCATCCCGAGGTGAGGAGCCCTTGCCTCTCTCTGTTGCTTATGCCTCGTGTGTGGCTGGTGATTGGCGTTGTGGCTGCTCTCTCTTTCTCTCTGTGTGTGTGTGTCATCGGCAGTCCCTTCGTTGGCGGCGGCGCCACTCTGCGCCGTCGGACCGGCACATTGCCATTGTCTGGTGCGCGATATGAGGTGGTGCAGGAGGGCACCGGCAGAGTGCCCACACTCAACGACACCGTCAAGTACGACTGGGTTGAGTGGTCTGATGCATTCGACGGGCGGGACAAAGTCCTCGATAGGCGTGGGCTGGTGTGGCGTGTGTCTGGTGTGGCGGGTAACTGGTTGAGTGAGGCGTTGGTAACGATGAGGGAGGGCGAAGTGAGGCAAATCAGACTGCCAGCGGAATGGCCTGTCCCTTACGGTCAGCTGCGTTTGATCAGCATAGAGTAGGAGAGAGAGTCCACACACACACAGACACAGACACACATGGGGGCGGCTGTGTGTGTCACACACTGATGTGGGTGGCTGGGGGCTCTTCACTCGTCGCCTGTCTGACTGGCTGGCTGTGTGCCTCACTTTGAGCGATGTGTGTGTGTGTGGGTCTATGGGGCATGTGGTTATCTTTCTCCCTGTCTATAGGTGTCGATACAGCAGAGCAGTGAGACCCCCACAGTCAATCGCCTGCTATGCCTGTGACAGTGTACTGCGTAAACAGACACACGAGAGCTGAGATGCCTTTTGAGCTGCCGTAGATGGGATGGCTGTGGTTTGATTTCACACTGACTGACCCAAGTTAGTCTTGGACTGACCGACAGAGACACTGACTGTCTGACTGACTGACTGACTGTGGTATGCTGTGAGACCAGTCAGCCAGCCACGGGAGGGAGAGAGGGAGGGGTGGTTCGCATCTCTGTCTGCACACTCACACCGATGCCATCACACACACACATGAGGGGTTTTGCCCGCCTTTTCCTTTGCCTGTGGCACTCCCATCGATGTCAAAACGCACGCACACACACACACACACACACTTGTCGGTGTGGTTTTGCTCCCGTGTGTTGTTTTGACCGCCATTGCTTTTGGCACATGAGCGACCTCTCTGTGTTTCTCTGTGTCTCAATCTGTGTGTGTCGCTGTGTGCGTGTGTGTCTCAATGTGTGTGCGGATACAGTCGTCCATTGTCTACAACGTGATGTGTTGACATAGAGGGGAGAGTGAGGGACTGTCAAGTGGGCACCGACGGAGTCAGCCAGACAAATGGCAAATGGTCTCTTCTCTCCTTCTCGACACACACAGACAGACAGACAGACAGACAGCGGTGGATGGCTAGACGGCCCCTTCTCGGCAGCAGACTGCTTAGCTAGGGCGAGTGCCCTCTGGGGGGGGGCTGAGGGGCTGGCTGGTGTGTGTCGGCTGTGTCTTTCCTGACTGCTTAGACGTGTTGATAGCAAACGGATCAATGCGATTGAGTCAATGCAGTGAGACACATTATTACATCTGGTCGACACACCTTGATGGACACGGCCACGTCGAGTCGATGTCCACACGCACACACACACATTCGCCCCCGATGAGGTCTGCCTGCCGACAGTCACAGACACAAAGGAGATCGACCGGCCGTCGCTGAGCCCCAACTTGAGGCCACCAGACAGACACCCACTGGATGAGAGTCATGACGATGGCATTAGGACATCGGTGTGCCGCAATCACGCCAGGAGTGAAACCGTCGTCATGGCGGCTCAATAAAGGATCGTCAGCAAAGTGTGGGAGACATGTGTCTCTCTTGACCAGCAGCACGGCACACAGGCAGCAGCATCAGCACACTCACGGCAGACACAAAGGGCCACGGGCGGCTGACAGACACACACGCGACAAAGGCAGCACAGACACACACAGTGAGAGAGACTGTGAGGCGGCCGCACAGACAAAACTCACTCGCTCATTGCACACAGACAGACAGACAACGCACTCACTCCATCGCTCAGAGCCAAAGCACACAGTTAGCCAGACGAGGAGCGAGGAGCCCCCGGCCACACACTCATGAGTGTGTGACACTCACAGCCGCTCACACGTGTGTGTGCGTGTGTGTGGACTCTCTCGAACTCTATGCTGATCAACCGCAGCTGAACGTAGGGGCCGCAGCCTGGCAGTTTGATTTGCCTCACTTCGCCCTCCCGCATCGACAGCAACGCCTCACGCATCCACTGACGCCAATCAGACACACGTTTCACCAGCCCACGGTAATCGCATGCTTTGTTCTGGCCGTCGAATGCGTCCCACCACTCAACCCAGTCGATCTTGACGCGGTCGTTGAGTGTGGGCACTCTGCCGGTGCCCTCCTGCACCACCTCATACCGCGCACCAGATGGCGATGTGCCGGTCCGACGGCGCAGAGTGGCACCGCCGCCATTGGCCAGACTGCCGATGACACACAAACACACACACAAAGCCAATATATAACCGTTCACACACGAGGCATAGGCAAGAGAGAGGCAAGGGCTCCTCACCTCGGGTTGTTTGATGGTCTCTGCCCTATCGGCAGAGCGATGGGCGGGCTGGTGCTGAAGTCGAGGAAGCGGACGCCCTTATCGCCCTCTGCCAGCCGGGTCACAATCGCGTCGCCACTCAGAGGGCTCGTGACTTCGATGAACAGCTCGCCGGGCCGGTTGGGGTACTCGAAGACGTTCTCCTTGCCCCACACAGTGATGCCCACCCACCCGAGGCCAGCTGCCAACGCCATGATACCTGTCACAGAGTGTGGATAATCCATCAGATCTCTCTCTCCTTTGCAGTCTACACGTGTGCTGCCTCTCTGTGGCTCACCCTGGTCCTTCGCTGCCCTCGAGAGCCGCCGAAACACGCAAGATCTGCGTGCCCGGAGGGTTTGAAGGGGTCAAAGGGTTTGTTACCCTGGAGCGGGAAGCAAGTTTGGCCCGAGATCTTCGCATACCTCACCCATACCTCACCCACCTCCCTGCGCCATTGTGGGCGATGCCGCAGCAAGCCGCTCTCCTTATTCCCGCAGGAGTCATCGCCTCTGCGTTGGCCAGCGCGTTTCAACCCCCCCTGGTGGCTCGCCCGCTCAAGGCCGTCATCCCAGTCCACTCCACAGCCCGTGGGAAGGCCACACACTTCCTCTCAGTCCTGAAGAGGAGAGAGAAGGGGCAAAACCAAGACACTCGCACTCAGTTACACGCCGAAGAGGTCAGTCAAAATGAATCATCAAAAGACCTGCTCAACCTTCCCAATACGCTCTCCCTGTTGTTGTCGCAGAGCTCTGGCAATGACGAGCGGAAGACGTCCGAGCCACCAGACAGCACCTTGCCGTCGAGTGCTTGTCTTCCCCCAACCTATGGTCAGAAAGGTCGTCAGCCACAAGACGAGTGCAAGTGCATCTCTCTCTGTGTGTTTGCGTGTGTGTGTGTGGGCTGGTTGCAGGTGCTCCTCTGCAACTCCAAGTCGTTAACTACGGAGACGAGCAAGTCGCTGAGAAGTGGCTGGGGGATCCTGTCCGCCGAGCTTCTGCCACCCCTGGTCAGTCAGCGAACGAGTGATAGCGAGGCGGAAATGAGATCACCCCACCCACATGTCTGTATCGCTGTGCACTCGGTCCATGCAGCTCCCAGCGAAGCCCCCCCTCCAATCACAATCACTGGACTGGAGCGTCCAGTCGAGCGCTTTTCCCAGGGCGTTTCCAATGGCGGCACCGGGATCATCGCCGTGGGCGTCGGGATCATCGCCGTGGGCGTCGGGATGATCGCCGGGGCCATCATCACTGGTGCTGCCTCCCTCCTCGAGGCACTCATCAAGGCCGGCATGAAGGGTCCCGGTGCGGTCATCGCCGCCCTCCTCATCTCGGGTGCGTTCCTCTATGTGGCGTTTGCCCTGGTATGGTTGCTCAAAGCACTGCAGGAGTAGGCACCACGTCGTGACACACTACGCACGTGTGAGACAGCTAGACAGACAGGTGCTCAGAAAGGGGGAAGGGATCTGAAGGGCTAGTGGGGGTGACTATCTCTTGTACAGACATACGGTTTTGCTTACTTGAACCACGGGAGGGAGGGAGCGGGTGTGTAGAGTCTGGGACTCTCATGGGGCTCGGATCCATTGGCTGACGTCGTTTCTGTCTATGAGTGTCGGCAGGCAGAGGAGGCGTCGGCCAATCGACAGCCTGAGCCGCGAGAGACCACATACAGACACACGTTTGCGTGGCGGTTTGACGGCTGGCTGATATGACGTGTCGTGAGCAGCATAGACGTGGGAGGGTGGGTGAGCGGGCTTCATCACTCGATAGAATAGCTGGGTTATCGAGCTGATTGATTGTCTGCTCGATGGGGATTGATCTGTGTGTAAGTCAGTCGGTGTCTGTATATGTATGTATATCAAAGCACACACATATGTGATGTGCCTTCCTTTCGCGTTCTAACCGGCCATTCAGTCGCGACGGTGTGTGAGTTTGTGTGATGACCGATTGGTTCTCTTCTTCCGCACCGATTTAGTCAGTCGACACAGTTTCTGTCAACAGGCACGCACATGAAAGCGTCATCAAGCGAGCGAGCAGCCAGTCGAGCTTATCTACCAGTCATCTACTTAATGCAGTGCAGTCAAGTCAGCCGAGTTAGTGACTTCCTGAACTACAAGTAAAGTGGCGGCCAGCAAAGCCAACAAACGGCATCCCATCTCCCTCACTCTCCTTGATCAATACATGCATCGATCCATCAAGCCGTCACCAAATGCAACCCATCGACCCATCCAATACGCAAACGGCAGCCCCCCGCCGCCACTGCCACACGCACATCCATCCGCCCACACACACATGCAGCCCGTCAAGCCAAGTGCTTCAAACTACTCACCCGCTCTACTCGTCAGCTGTGTGTCTCCCTAGCTACAGAATGCTGATCAGGTGCAGCTCCACATAAGGCGCCGCAGTGCCTCCTCCCTCGCAGCTGCAGCAGGGCAGCATGATGCGCCGCACCTCCCCCTCCCGCATAGCCATCATCGCCTCTCGCAGCCACTCATGCAGATCGGACAGCTGGCGGATCTCGCCCAGCCGCTGCTGCCTGCCGCCAATGCCATGTCCGACGGTGGTGTAGTCGTACACGACGGTCTGGTCGATGGATGTGGGTGTCCGGCCGGATGGGCTGCCCTCGCGTATCGTCTGATGGAGTGCACCTGAGGGCATTTCGGTGATGGGGAAGCCACTGTGGCTGCTGAATGCATGTCTGTATTCATGAGCAGAGAACAAAGGGAAAGAAGCCTGCCTAGTGCTGCTCCCAGTCACTCAATCACCCACCTGGTCTGTGTTTGTGTCTGTGCGCCATGTTGTGTGGATGTGGGTGTGTTGGCCATGGTGACATCGGAATCAGCGGCCGACTGCTCCCCGACACACACACACACACACACACACACACAGAGAGAGAGAGAGAGAGACAGACGTGACGCACACACGAACACGAGCGGCGGGTCTGTGTGTATTTGCTCACGCACCCTCTCATGATGCTGGCAAGCCGCAGCTCGACATATCCCTTCTCTGGCAGTATAATCCGCCGGGTCTCTCCCTCCCTCATGGCCATGATCCGCTCCCTCAGCCACTCTCCCATGTCCGTCACACGGCGCACCACCCCCCGCTGCTCGAAGTCTGTGTCGGTGTCGAATCCGTCCCGCCAGGAGGCGATGTCGTATCTGACGGTGTCGTTGAGTGTCGGTCCATTGCCGGTGCCGCGCTGCACAACTCTGTGGTAGGCGCCAGATCGATGGCGGACAAATCCTTCATGACCGCTGCAAACCCATCACAGACACGCACAGCGCACAGAGAGAGAGATGTGTCTCTGATCCACACCGACCCTTCCCCAAATGGACATGTACGTGGGCGTGTGAGTACCTGTCCACAATATGGATAAGCCGGATGTGTGCGAAGGCGAATCCAGGTGTGATGATCCGCCGGATCTCCCCCGTACGCATGGAAAGCAGCGCCTCACGTAGCCACTCCTGCGTGAAGTCCGCCACACGGGACTCCGCCCCATGAGCGTCGAGTATCGTCTGGGTGCCGTCAAATGCGTCTCGCCACACACGGGCATCGTACTGGACGGTCTGGCTGAGTGTGGGGCTGGTGCCGCAGCCCTCTGTGGTTGTGCGATAGCGAGCACCCGATGAGGGCGATAAGGTGAAGCAGTCGTCACTGCACACACACACACACAAGGACAGCACACAGCCATCCATTCATTAGAGAGTTGTTGTGCGTTGGCGTGCGTCCCATCTGTCTGTGTCACCTGTGTGTTGTACCTACCTACCTTGTGGGTGTGTTGGAGGGGTGCTGAGTTACATAGCCATCCAGCATACAGACATCCGATTCGCTGCACACACGCCACGCCATCAGCAGACACATACATCCACGCATCCATCCTTCATCTCTCTGTGTCATCTATGTGGCCCTTCTCATGATTTACCCACCTGCCGTCCGTCTGGGAATTGGTTACCATCTCATTCGCCGACAAACCTCCATGACTCGCCTTTCCCGGTGTGAGTGTGAGTGTGTGTGCCGTGGAATGGGTCTGCATGTCCGTGTCTATGGGCAGCTGCGGGTGCGTCGGGGTGGGTGTGGGCAGCAAAGGCGGGGGGGCTGGTGGGTGAATGACCAGCAACTTGTCTTGTGCTGGCCGCATCTGCTGGTGAGGCGGGCTGTCAGCCTTGCGCTTTGTTCCTGTCCCTGCCAACGATGCCGCGGTGGCACGTCGCCCCTCCTGATCGAGCGACACAAACACACACAATACACACATAATGAAACAGGAGCCGGCGATGATTTCAATGAGTCTTTCTACCTTCAAAGCTAGCGCAGCTGCACAGCCTTCTGTGAAGGCCGCCGTTTTTTTCTCCTCTGCTGATGCGATGCCGCTCAGCTAACCACTGCACACACAACACAACGATGCAGACACACAGACAGATGATCTATGTCGTTCATGGCGCTGGTTTGGTCTGCGTCTGCTTTCGTGAAAATTTTCCAACAATTCACCTGTCCTCTCTCCTGCAGAGCATCTGTGAGGCGAATGGCTCCGTTTTGGCTCTCCTTTTTCCCCCTTTCCCTTGCGAGCTTTGTAATCAATGGATCGCCGATCGCGAGAAGCAACACCGAGAGTGGAAATGGCACGCTGGGTTGGGGAATCGGTGGCTTTGCTACGGGAGTGAGGGAATCAGCTTCGTCCCTGCCGTATGGGAATCTATCGTTGATTGGCCCATCTATCTGTCTACACATCTATCTGCTGCGGACAGTACGGGTGGTGTGGCGCTGATCTGGCCAGCTGGTGTGAGCGAGCTGACTCAGTGAGTGAGCTGAGTGAGTGGGTGTATCTATCGTGTTGATTGACTGGTTTCTTTCAGGTGGAGGAGCAGCGTGATGAATGGATTCCACGATGACGCTGCTGCAAGCACAAGCAACGATGACACGTAAGCACACAGACGCGCACGAGATACACAACGTTCAACAGAACAGATCATGGACTGCGTCGCTACATCTCTTTCTCTCTGTTTTCTTCTGTGTGTGTGTGTTTGTGTTCCATCCGCATGTGTGTGTTCAGTGGTTCGTGTGTGGGTGGTGGGGATGTGCGTTACACGAGTCACGGTGAGGGAATTGCCTGTGAGAGCCGACTCTGTGAGGAGCTGGAGAGGGCCGTCAGGGAGGGCAATGTCGGCGCTGCAAAGGTCTGCGGGTGGGGGGGATGGCTGGATGTGTGATGTGTCACATGCTTAGTCACGCTTTGTGTGCGGATGGCTTTAATCGTAGATCTGATCTCTCTCTCTCTCTCTCTGTGTGTGTGTGTGTGTGTGTTGTGTGGCATCGCTTGTTCCTTCGTTGGTTCGTTCGTCAGGCGTCAGTCATCTCTCTGGCTCGGCTCAAGTCGTCATCTCTGCAGGTGCGGGTGAGGGACAGGTACTACGCCAACAGACACTCATCCGCATCAGCAGCATCGGCGTCGAACCCTTCGCACACCTTGATGAATGGGTAACCTCCCCTCCC